GCCCATCCAAAAATGGAGCTGGAGTGTCAGACAGGTAATTCACTGGATTTCTTGTTATGCATCAGTTGACAAATACTCCAGTTATTTTAGGCTGTTAATAGTTTGTTTTTCTTAGGCCTGTACTACAAAACAATTGAACATACCTAGAAAAGCATGTGTGAAATTTTCATTTAAGGTTCACAAATACAAATAAGTTCCCTGTAAAACATTTTTTTAAATTACTTAAGGTCCAAGAGAAATCTTCTGGAAATGGTAATGGTATTTTACAGGAAATTGATTGTTCAGTAGGCAGTGATTTCATACCTGCTGATCTCAAGTCTCCAGCATAACTGTTTCTGGAGCAGGTAAAGTCTGCAGCATAAACCGATGGACCTCAGTAAGAAGTAAAACATCTCCATCTTAACCCTGAAGTTACCTCGATGAGCCCAAGTCCTGTTTCGTAGTGCAGTCCTCTGAACTGTGTGTTGTATAGATGTAAACAGACAGATGAAAGTGGAAAGGGGCGTGACCCCATGACCCTAAACTGAATAAGTAGTTAAGAAGATAGAATTTAGTATCAGTATCCTGAAAATAATGCTATCAATGAATGCCAAGCACATGTCTGTTTGTTAAAGAGATTTCTTTGCATTAACTGGTTGACAAAACCTGCCCATATGGAAAAGATATATATAAATCTTGTTTGTATCTGTCTTGTATGAAACTTGTATAAAAAGCACACAAGAGTGAAAACACATAAGATCCCTTGAAAAATTATATAAATGAATCTTGTATGTTTTGTGTATATAAAAAATTACTAAAAAAATATATGAAAGTAATGAGAAAGTGGCCACTTTCATGAGTAAATCATATATGTTTTTACTATTTCTTTTCCATATGGGTAAGTTCACAGTTGGACCTGTAGCTTTATGGATGCTGTCAATTTTCACTGTTAAATTCAATTTGTTTATGTAGCACTAAATCATAATGTGATGCAGACCTGCAGATCATTTTTGCTGCATAGAGTTTTTTAATAGGTTTTTAACTAACCTATAGAAACAACATGAGTCGTAATAAGAGTGTATTTTTCGGCGGAGATGCAGCTATTCTCTGTTCTACAACAGGTTTGTGTTTCAGGTAAAAAACAAACTCAATGTTGGACATGGAAGACTGATTGCAGGCTTCACGTACTTCTGTCACAAAGAAATCTCACTTCTTGGACACTCTTCAAGAGTTATACTTGAATTAGTGGGAAGCAGCTAGGCTAGCTCCAACACTTATTAAGTCTTCACACAACGTTTTTATGTCAATGTTTAGCAGCGTAGGAACGTAAACAATCACATCCTCGCCAGGATGAATTGCATTCGTTTACATTTTATTACTACAAAAGGTTGTATTATGACAGATGAGTCACAGTGAACTCTCAGGGTAAAGTGCAAAAAAAATGGCAACCAGACCGTAAAACGTCACGATCAGTCACTGCACAAGGCTGTAAAACGTATTATAAAACAGGTGCTGCTCATCAGGTGCTTGACACTGAGCTTTCTCATTTTCTCACTTACAAAGAAGTGAACAGTCTCTACTCTTTAGAGACAAAACATGGGCCACAAATCCAGGAAAAATCCATTAATAACAGTAAATAAAGGCTATAAACTGATTTACACGTCACAGAGAGAAATAAGTATTCGATTGGCTCTGTGCTCATGTGACACACATTTCAATCAATCAGTTACAGATCTAATTTACACCATGAGTCCTACTCTGAACAGGTATTATACATAAACCCAATATATGACAGCTTTTTAAAGTTTTTGGCTTGTTTAGAATAAATGTGTGTAAATAAAAATGGAAAAACCAAGGATGTACTGAGAGATTAAACTGTTTACAATCTAATAGATGAAATATCACATTCTACATGCTTACAATAATAACACCAAGTCTTTGCTGCTTCTTTAGGTGGTGGATTGTCAGACCCGCCCCCTGAGCAGTGCAGCATGGGCGCTGGCCCCACCCAACAGCCTGAGATATCAGAACTTTAGGCAGCCGGTGCTGTCTAACCCCATACATCATGCGAGCCAGCCTCAAATGCGCTACGGCGAGGAGGATTGGGAGGACTCTCTCAGTGTTTGTGTGCTGGTGCGACAGGGCGAGTCACATGGCCTCCACACCCTTCTGGAGATCCCTGTGTTTGGTCACAACAAAATGGGAAGGCCCCTCACGTCTCCAGAGTTCTTGTTTCCACTGACCACAGTGGATGGTAGCAGAGAGGATGACATTAACGTAGTGACCTTCAAACGTAGCGACACTGATGCTGTAACGAGAGAACACGGCTGCTTCAGAAGCCTGTTTGAAACGGAGGGATGTCCTGCACCGTTCATGTCTGGCTCCACCTTTTACTGCTTTCATTGTCCTGGCACACACACTAACAGTGTGCTAAAGTACAGCCAGGACAGCGGACTTGACAGGAAGACGGTGGAGCTGCCCTCTGTATCGCTGTGCAGCCATGCAGGCCGAGCAGAGGGGGAGCATCGTGAGAGTGACAGGGAAGGAGAGGAAAAACTGGCCCTGATGTATGAAAGGCTGAGGATAGAGGTAAGAACCACT